CCAAAATAAAGATTAAAAGACACAGATCACGCAAAAGACTACACAAGCGACGTAGATAAAGACACAGATCACGCCTTTCCATTCCGATTTCGCCCGGAGCAGGGCATGTGGCATTTCTTCTGCAAGAGACGACAGGCAAGCTAAGAGGGAAGAACTCCAAGCTTTAGGAACGACTGCCTGAATGGAACACGTCTATGGCAAAACAGCTATTGTCTGGAACGGACATACAGGCCACACGCCAATACTGCGGAACCCAGGCATGCTTTACCCTTTTTTGCTTGTCAACACCACTTCACTATGTGCTTTGCAACGCAACGCTAAAGTGGAGTAGCATTTGTGCAGAGAACTTCTGCGGTTAACCCTGTTGCGAGCAGGTTTGAAGAACTAGCAGCGCTTGAAACTTCAGCATCTCACACCGCATGTCAATGGCGCTGCCGTTCCTTGTCGCAATCACTGCACCGTAAACGACCAGCACCTGAGGGTGCAGAGGTTCTGGGCCGCTCTAAACTTGGATCTCAGGCTGCTGGCTCGAAACTTTGAAGACTCGGGCTCTTTTCCTAGCACAGGCTTCATTACACATTGTCGGTTCAGGGAAAACCGAGGGTCGGGTTACTGATTCTGGCAAACACACGGGTCAATCAAACGCTTCGGGAACGAGATCCGTCCGCAAGCCCTTGCCCCTCCCCCACACAGAGCCCAGAATTAGCCGCTCCTTGCCCCCGGTTATGTCAGAAAACTGAAAAAATGCACAGCCAGCCCCGAGGGCAAGAGACAATGCAGGCGAGGTACGCTTTCCTGCAGGTTTGCAGAGGTCACGCCATGGCACGCAGGCCAGAAACAGGACCGTCAAGATCTGGGTCGCATCTAGCTAAAAGAAATCACAACAATCATGCCTTCCTTAAGGGGAGCGACGGTACCTTCAAACCTTGAGAGTGAAAGCAGACCGTCGCCTCTTTGCAAAACTCTTGCAGCCTGGTTCTGCCAGTGCGAAGGTGCAAGCGGTATGAAGAAGAATCACGAACAACGCGCTGTGCCGAGCTGAAATCAGGTCGGGTTGAGCTTCAACTGCAGCTGCTTGATCACCACCGTCCGTCGGGAGCATGCGCTGGGGTAAGGAGTTTCAGATTTCGTGGGAAGTCCGTGACAAGCTATAAAACAGCACCTGTGGTGATCTACGATGTAGAAGTGTCTCATGCTGGGCTGGCATTTGTAGCACCTGCTGGAACGGCTGCTGTTTTAGAACCCCAAATCCATGAACAAGCTCAGTTTTCGCATGACAGATGCTGAATCGTGAAGCAGGCTGCAGTCTCAGTGCTGCTCACCAGCCCACACAGAGTCGCTGGTCAGGTCATTGGGATTCGTAGAGCTCCTTGCACATGCTGTGGCACTGCAGTTTCTTGGTTCCGGCATCGACCATGTAGCGGACGTATGTCCGGCACGAGGAGCGAGAGACCGTGAAAGTGTCCCCATGAGCTGTCTTGATATCCACCACTTCCAACTGAAGCTCTTCGAAGGCTGCCGTTGGTAAACAGCTGGCATTGGAACGGTAGGTCTGGATCCCGAACTTTGAGAACATGTATTTATACCTGCTACCCGAGGCAGCGGCATTCTGAAAATTGCAATCGCCTGCATCAGGAGCAGATATGAACTCGTGGCCTAGCCGAGCACTGTAGCAAAGGCCATGGGAGCTGAACCAAACCTCGCATCCAACCAACATATCCGCGTTGTAGGTACCCGTTGATGCTGCATCTCGCTGAAAGTTGAACGACCACCATAGCGGAGGCTCCCCCAATACTCTTGCAGGAGCATGTTCCTTGTTTGTGAACAGGGAACCATCTTCCCGCTCCGCTCGAAGTCCCACCCTTTCTCCTGGTTCTCCGGGGAAGTCAGGGGTATATGGAACTGAAAGGTACTCCCCATCGGAATACCAGGCCATGCGCTGCGAGCCAAGACCTGCAAAGGATTCCAGCATCATCGCTGTCATAGGATCACCTTGGTCGCCAGATGCATCCTGGTACTGCACTGACCTTTGGCAAACAGCTCGGTCGACTACCTCAAATAGTTTCGGACCAAGCCGCGTTATGACAGCATGTCACTACTACAACGAAAGTTTGCAGAAGCCGATGTGTGCGATGCTTCGCAGCCACGGCACAGCCAAAACTGAAAACATGTCATCTGCGTGTCCGATCACCAATAGCGTGCCGACCCACAAAACAATCGGAACTTACAGCAAACAATGTTTCGGCAGCTCCTTACCTTGTCAACACTGGGGGATATCCAGCCGGATTTGGTCATGTGCGCTTGGGAATCCAATTTTTTCAACTTGCAGCTTCTTGACTCTCTAAGGCCGAAAGGCCCGAGAAGCCCCGGGAACAAAACGGCTTTAAGAGGTTTGCGCGCGCGCACGGGTGTGTGTGTGTGTGTGTGTGTGTGTGTGTGTGTGTGTGTGTGGGTGTGCGTGTGCGGGTGTGGGTGTGGGTGTGGGTGTGCGTGTGCGTGTGCGTGTGCGTGTGCGTGTGCGTGTGCGTGTGCGTGTGCGTGTGCGTGTGCGTGGGCGTGGGCGTGTGGGCGTGGGCGTGTGGGCGTGGGCGTGTGGGTGTGGGCGTGTG